TACATGAAGCACATCAGGGAATGTCGAAAATGAAGAGTCTAGCCCGCTGCTATTTCTGGTGGCCTGGATTAGACAAGGCAATTGAAGATCTAGTAAAGAAATGTAAGGCATGCCAAGAAAACAGTGCTCTCCCTCCTCAAACTCCTGTACACCCATGGGAAGTTCCAAAGACTCCATGGACACGACTTCATATAGACCATGCTGGTCCTTTCCTGGGACACCACTTCCTCATTCTGGTAGATGCTCACTCTCGCTGGTTAGAAGTATGCATTGTACCTTCTACTTCCTCTGAAGCGACTATCAAAGTCCTTCGTCACATATTCTCTACTCATGGTCTTCCTCATCAGTTGGTCTCTGATAATGGACCTTCATTTACTAGTCAAGAATTTAAGAAATTCATGTCTCTAAATGGTATTCGCCATTCACTAACAGCTCCTTACCATCCGAGGTCTAACGGTCTAGCAGAAAGAGCAGTGCAGACATTTAAGAATGCTATTAAGAAGATGGAAGGACCACTACATGAAAGAATTGCTCGATTCCTTTTCTCTTACAGAATCACTCCTCAATCTACTACTGGGCAATCCCCAGCTGAACTCTTAATGGGACGTAGATTAAGATCAGTCTTAGATACTGCTCACCCAGATTTCACTCTACCTTCACAGAAAGAGAAGACTAAAAGCAATGCAAGATCATTCAAGCTACATGACAAGCTGTTTGCAAGGAACTACTCTGGGAAGCCATTATGGATTCCTGTGGTTGTCTGTAAGGTCACTGGACCATTGTCTTACCATGTTGAAACTATGAATGGTTTAGTGCTTAAAAGACATGCTGATCAGCTCAGAAAAAGGTACACTGAAGACTCTGAGCCAGATACCCTTCCGGAGGACAGTGATTGGGATGATGATTTCACTCCATTGATTCCTAACGTGCCTCCACCTCCTACTCCACCTCCTTTGCCCCCACCGATTCGTCGATCGACTCGTTCAAGGATGACTACTGATCATGGGCCGTATGTATGTTAACTTAAGAGGGGAGGGGTGTTATATATTGATATATTATTTTGGTATTGATTCCTATTATTATTTTCTAAGGCATTTTGATTACAGTTATTTCTAGTATTATTATTATTGTTATTATGATTATTATTACTACTATTGTTATTACAATTATTATTATTACTATTATTAATTATTATTATTATTACATTTCTGTACGATGTTATTTCTTTCCCTTCTAGCTGATGCTTATGATTTACTATGCTTATTAGTTCATGTATACTGATTCTGATTGTTGTGTAATGTTTTGTCATTGTGATGTAATATGATGTAATACTGTTTGTATATAAGTGTATGTTCTTTTCATTTTTGTCAGAAGAGATTTTAGCCTTTTTACAATAATCAATATTTACAAAATACGAAGGTCAAGCTCTCTCCATTCGGTCACTACAAGGACCACTAGCACTAGTAGTCCCTGATTTACAGAAGTAGTTATTTCCAATAAAAGACTGCACTGATACAGTACTACCAGTATTAGATGGACATGCATTTGATGAAGACAATGAATCACTAAAACCAGCCATTAGTGTCCAGACATGTTGACAAGGACACCCACAAGTGATACTAACACCATCAACATAATAGGAATTGATGTCATTATGATAACAAGAGTACATAATTTTAGCAAGAGCACTCTTGACAACAAGAATTAGAAAGTTGATTAATGGCATCAGGTCTACCATATTGATATCCAGGTACTCTACTATACACACCTGAGAATAACTGATACCATTAGATGGGAACTGAACTGATACACAACTGCCTTGTGTCTACCACAAGCTCTACCTCCTCCTGACTGGTACAGTCTAAACCCAGAAGAACAGTTCACTCATATTCAGATATGCTAACCTTGTCCATTCATCTCCTGAACCACAAAACTCCTCCATAGTGCAGAAAGCAGTATAAGTTGATCCATTAGCTGATGCTAATACATAACAACCTGATGAACTGGTATATAGGTAATAAATTTCTGAGTTGTTTGCAAGATGTCAAAAACCCAAAATAATGATGAATAAGTGCCAATAAAAGGTGTATCATGAACAAAAATGTATTATCAACTACTCTTGCAGTAGAGGTACTGGTGTCTTGTAGATCAGAGAGAGAGTATTGACAATGCTAATGAGCCTTTGTCCAGAATCTCTTGTAGTTTGTAAGATTTGCTCATTAAGTTCAGTGAAGTCGGCATTGTTTTGAAATAGTTTAAGGGTATTTTGTGATACACCATTAGCCCATTCATTGAAGTCAGGAAGGCTCCCTGTTACATTGCTGTTAACTTATTGACTACATCATTAGTCCATTAATTAAGTAAAGTTAGGATATTCATTGTTACCAGTAATAGCTCCAGTAGTACATGTACATGGTGTATCTCTTGTAGACATAATATGAGCCAGTAACAAGACTATCAGTAGTATTACTATCAGTGACAGTAACACTGTGTAAATGACTGGTTTATTTCATGAAGGTTTCTTGTTCTTTATATACTTCGTTCAAATCTCTTCTCTTTAATAGCTGAGGTTTGACTTAACTCAACAAACTCATATTCACAGTCTTCCTTGATGGTGTCCTGCTTCAGAGATTCATATAATAAATCCTATTCTCCTTCCATTATAAATATTCAGAATAACTACTAGACACTTTTACCATTTATATGTTCCTAGGCTCAGTATTGAAGCATTGTATTCCTTACGAACTACCTTGTGAAAACTGTCAACCAAAAATTTAAAAACCACTAACTGAAACCAAAATAATACTAGTGTAGATTGAAAAATTTCACTGTTCACTTTAAATTACAGTGAAACTTAAAATTTAACATGTGAAACATTTACGTAGCGTATAATAAAATATCACGAAAACTAATCTCAGCATCGACTTTAATAACTGGGCAGGCAGCACACTATGATAAAATTAACAATGCCTTTGAATTACATTATTATACATACATGCAACTCTCTTTCTTTCTCCTTCTCTTACTCGTGTAGTCTCAGTGGTAGGTTAATGACCAGGTGTATTTTATGCTGAGAGGAAATACTCATTAGCTGATGACACAACTTGAAACCCGACAAACCGTTTTCACCAAATGGTCAATCTATGGGTCTATAAATCATAGAAAGAAAAAAGAGACAATTAAACGTAGGAAAAGGAAAAGTTGTTGAAGTAAAATTCACAAATTTACAAGCACCAATATGTAAATGTACAGATGTATAGAGCCAGTAGCACAAGGACAGTTACTACCATGGATGCTGTTTGTTTCACCAACGCCAGCTATTAGTGTCCAAACATGTTGACGAGGAGACCCACGAGTGATACTAACACCATCAACATAATCACCATTCAAATTATTGTGATTAGAACCATAATTATTGTCAACTGCATCAGGAGATCCATATTGATATCCAGTTACTCTACCACACACCTGAGAATAACTGATACCATTAGATGGGAACTGAACTGATGTACAACTGCCTCCACTTGATGTTGCTCTACCACAAGCTCTAACTCCTCCTGACTGGTACAGTCTAAACCCAGAAGGACAGTTCACTGTAGAGTCATTCATATCCAGATATGCTAGTCTTGTCTATCCTCATCCTGAACCCAACTCCTCCATATTACAGTATAAGTAGTAGTAGTTTGAATATTAGCAGTCAATTGCCAGTAGATACATTCCAGAATGACTGTTTGGTTATACTATTGATAGCTCCAGCATTAGAGTTTGTTGTATTCTTCATAAGAAAGAGAGCTCTTATGCCAGCAATAGTGTGAGCATTGCTCTTTGTAGTATTCAGCAACTCCAGAAGGAGCGTATCATTGTGAACATGAAGCAGCGCAAGTAGCTTAATTATGACATTAGATAAGTTGAGGGAGACAAACAATGACCACAAAAAGGGACAAAATTCCTTATTAGTTTACAGTGGTTTATTATTGGGTGTACTTTTTTATAAACTTTAGAAGAGCCTGAGCAATGACATTAAGAATGGATTGTTTTGAAGCACAAGAATTCAAAGGTAAATGCCAGAATCAACACGCACCTGTAAGGTTGCAGATGTGTAGTTGTGTAAAAGAATGCAAAAAACACACTTTAAACTTCTTAATTGTCAAAACATACACTTAATTATCACACACAAATAAAGTTAACAGTGGTATATGTATCTATTTATGACCATTCATAGGTATAAATGCTTAAATACTCATACATTTATAAGAATATTTACTGTGAAAAGGACATTAGTTTTTAGTGACAATTTGTAGGTATATAACTAATTTGACCCTAAAGCAATACAACAATAAGAACATCACTACAAATGAAAAAAAACTAAAATAAGCCACTGACACACACACACACACACACTTCACTACTTAATGTAAATCTCATAATAACTAACAGGGCTGTTTTCAAAAGCAGTCCATCCATCTCCACACACCCTCAACTCAATATAGTCAATAGTGGTATTGCTACCATAGTCTTTATGAAACCATGGGGTACCAGGAACATTACAACAAGGTGATTCAAGAGAGCCACAACCTTGACCATCCCAGAGTGGATCAGATGTGAAAAGAATAACTGTTATAGGACCACTAGCACTAGTAGTCCCTGATTCACAAAAGTAGTTATTACCAATAAAAGACTGAACTGATAATGTACTACCATTATTACATGGACATGCATTTGATGAGGACAATGAATCACTGTAACCAGCCATTAGTGTCCAGACATGTTGACGAGGAGACCCACGAGTGATACTAACACCATCAACATAGTAAGAATTGATGTCATTACGATAAGAATTAGAAAGTTGATTAATGGCATCAGGTCCACCATATTGATATCCAGTTACTCTACCACACACCTGAAAATAACTGATACCATTAGATGGGAACTGAACTGATACACAACTGCCTCCTCCACTTGATGTTGTTCTACCACAAGCTTTAATTCCTCCTGACTGGTACAGTCTAAACCTAGAAGGACAGTTCTGTGTAGGGTCATTCATATCCAGATATGCTAGCCTTGTCCATCCTCCCACTGAACCACACAACTCCTCCATATTACAGTAAGCAGTATACATTGATCCATTAGCTGATGCTAATATATAATAACCAGATGGACTGCTAGGTAACAGATTTTTAATTTGCTTGCAAGATGTCGAAAACCTAAATGATGAAGTATGTGCCAATAAAAGGTGTATCATGAACATAAATATATCATCAACCACTCTAGCAGTAGAGGTACTGAAGTCTTGCAGATTAGATAAAGTATTGACAATGTTAATGAGTTTTTGTGCAGAATCTTTTGCAGTTTGTAAGATTTGTTTATCAAGTTCAGTGAAGTTGATATTGTTCTGAAATAGTTCAAGGGTATTTTGTGATACACTATTAGCCCATTCATTGAAGTCGGGAAGGCTCCTGGTTACATTGATGTTAACTTTAGAGATAACATCATTAGCCCATTCATTGAAGTCAGGAAGGCTACCTGTTACATTGCTGTTAACTTTAGAGACAACATTATTAGCCCATTCATTGAACTCAGGAAGGCTACCTGTTACATTGCTGTTAACTTTAGAGACAACGTCATTAGCCCATTCATTGAAGTCAGGAAGGCTTCTTGTTACATTGCTGTTAACTTTAGAGACAACACCATTAGCCCATTTATTGAAGTCGGGAAGGCTCTGGTTAACTTTATTGACTATATCATTAGCCCATTGAGTAAAGTTAGGATATTCATTGCCACCAGAACTAGTTCCAGTAGTATATGGTGTATCTCTTGTAGACATATGAGCCAGTAACAAGCAAAGGATACAAACCTGTAGTATTACTATCAGTGACAATAATACTGTATGGACGATTAGCTTATTTCACATTAGCTCCTTAATCTTACTTTTCTCTATATTCTTAGGTTGTTCAACAACTTCAGCTCTCCTCACTTCAACAGCTGAGGCTTGACTCAACTCAACAAATTCATATTCACAGTCTTTCTTGACAGTGTCCTGCCTGAGAGATTCATATGCTAGATTCTCTTCTCCATCTATTGTAAATTAATGTTCAAAAAACTAATGAACTCTAATTTACTTAAGTGTATACACAACAGTGACGTGTTATTGTAGTTAATGTAGCAATTTGATGGCTTGGGCACAAATACATTTCTTCTGTACACATAGTATTGGAGAAATAAAGCTAACATGTCTGAGCAACCAACCCACCCATGTTTCATATGTATAGTGGGTGGGAAACAATAAATAAAAAAGGTAGCTCCAAAAAGTTTTGAGCTTTCTAGCAGCAAGAAATCAAAACAATCCAATAATAAGAATATTACTAATAATATCAAACCAAATAAAAACAAAAATTACAAAATGAAAATTACCAACACTACAAAATAAAAATAATGATCTACCAAATAAAAATCATTAACCATTGACACATGCACACACACACAAGCAAAAGCACAAAGACACCCTACCCTTTATTACTTAACATAAATCTCATAATCTTCTCAATCAGTTCTTTCATCTTCACACATCCTCAACTCAATAAAGTCAGTAGTGGTATTGTTACCATAGTCTCTGTGAAACCATGGGATACCACGAACACTACAACAAGGTGATTCAAGAGAACCACAACCTGACCATCCCAGAGTGGATCAGATGTGTGAAAAGTATGAGATGTACTACCACCAGTAGTCCCTGATTCACAGAAGTAGTTATTACCAATGAAAGACTGCATTGGTACTGTACTACAATTTTTTACATGGACATGCATATAATGAAGAATATGTATCACTAAAAGCAGCTATTAGCATCCAGACATGTTGACGAGAAGACCCACAAGTGATACTAACACCATCAACATAATAAGAATTGAGGTTGTTATGACAAATGTAATTACTAGAGTGTTGATAAATATCATCAGATCCACCAAATTAATATCCACTTACTCTGACGCACACATGAGAATAACTGATACTATTAGATGGGAACTGAACTGATACACAACTGCCTCCACTTGATGTTACTCTAGGACAAGCTCTAACTCCTCCTGATACATGCAATCTAAACCCAGAAGGACAGTTCAGTGTAGAGTCAGTCATATACAGATATGCTAGTCTTGACCATCCTTCTCCTAAACCACACAGCTTCCTGGTAAGCAGTGTAATATGAACTGGTATGATTAGAAGTTTTCAGTAAATACATACCAGATGGAATGTGGAGTTGCTCCTATTTTGATGTCCTTACAAGAGTCAAGAGGTAGGTAGTAGTTTTTGTGCTATTAGCAGTATGTCATCAGCCACTCCAGCAGTAGAGGTACTGGTGTCTTGTATATTAGAGAGAGTATTGACAATGTTAATAAGCTTTTGTGCAAAATCTCTTTATTAAGTTCAGTGAAATTGGTATTGTTCTGAGATAGTTGAAGGGTATTTTGTGATACAACATAAGCCCATTCTTTGAGTCAAGAAGGCTCCCTGTTACATTGCTACTAACTTTAGAGACAACACAAATAGTCCATTTACTGAAGTCAGGAAGGCTTTGTGTTACATTGTTGTTAACTTTAGTGACAACACCATTAGCCCATTCATCAAAGTCAGGAAAGCTCTGATTAACTCTAGATACTATATCATACCCTCATTGAGTGAAGTTAGGTGATCTATTGTTACCAGGAATAGCTCCAGTAGTAGCTGTACTGGTACTGGTAGCATCTCTAGCAGACAATTGAACCAATAATAGGCAACATATTACTACCACTGTAGTAAAACTATAAGCAAGAGTACATGATGGGGGGTATCATGTACTCTGCTATAAGACACATTAATAGAACAATAACTACTATTAGTGTACTCCATGATGACAACTTTGATCCTTTATTCCATGATGCTGTATAGCTTCTCTTGATTAATCATCATTCCTCCTTACATTAGTATCGAATCAACCAATTCAAAGGATTCTCTTGATGTCGTACAGCATATCGTACCTCAAAATCATTCTTTACTTCCATTGTTAACAAAAATGAAGTAGCCAATTCTAAACTACTGTATAATTTACAAAAAGCATATGCTCCTACATGTTTGTAGTAGCAATAGTTGTTATGTAGTAAATATAATCATACTAGTAAATAATAATTAAAAATTTCTGTTAATTACTGCATGAGTATTATCTACTCTTGGTATTATGTCACAATAATAATGAGCAAAACAATTGTGATAGTTAATTTTCTTTGATTGATATTACAGTAACTTCATACTACTAACACTTGAAATCATCAATAGCTCTTATTATACAGGTTACTTTAAGAATATAATCATTAATTACTACAAGTCATGCAACAACAACAAGAAGTCTAATTAGTATATCATTCATTATAGTGTGCATAGCTGTCACAAGCAATTAGTTTCACATAGCTAGACCATGCCTTTTGGGCCTGGAGGGCGGGGTTTGGCTATGTGAGACCGAGACTAAGAAGCAATCTGCTGATTGATGAATATTTCCTTATAGGGCAAACAAAAAAATCAACTTTACTGAAACAATGCAATAATAAGAGCGAGAATCAAATTACTAAATAAAAATATAAGTCATCAACACACACACTTCATTACTTAACATAAATCTCATAGTAAATAACAGGACTGTCTTCATTTTGAGTTCCCTCATCTCCACACACCCTCAACTCAATATAGTCAGTAGTGGTATTGCTACCATAGTCTCTGTGAAACCATGGGCCATTAGAATTGCAACAAGGTGATTCAAGAGAACGACAATAAGAACTTTGATGATCCCAAAGATAATCAGATGTGTATAGAGTATTTGATGTACCACTGTTAGGATTCCCTGATTCACAGAAGTAGTTATTACCAATAAAAGACTGCACGGATACTGAGCTGCCTGTATTACATGGGCATGCATTTGATGCAGAACTTCCTTCACTATAACCAGCCATTAGTGTCCAGACATGTTGACGAGGAGACCCGCGAGTGATACTAACACCATCAACATAATAAGAATCAATGTTATTACGATAAGAGGAACTGACATAATTAATAGCATCTGTTGATCCATATTGAAATCCTGTTACTCTACCACATATCTGAGAATAACTGATACCATGAAATGGGAACTGAACTGATGCACAGCTACCACTGCTTGTTGCTGGTCTACCACAAGCTTTATAATATCCTGACTGGTATAATCTAAACCCAGAAGGACATTTCAAATTCTGTCCATGCAAATAAAAATATACTAGTCTTGTCCATCCAATAGATCCACACAACATATTCATTTTACAGTAAGCAGTGTAAGTAGTTGATCCATTAGCTGATGCTAGTATATAATAACCCGAATAAAGGTTTGGGTTTTGTATTTTAAGTTGCTCACAAGAGGTAGGTAAAGCAGTTGAGTCGTTGTACAGTTTTTGTGCTATTAGTAGTATATCATCAATCACTCCTGGTGATGACCAATTGGTGCCAGTACTAGCTCCAGTAGTGGTATTAACTCCAGTAGTGATATTAACTCCAGTAGTACATGTACTATTAAATCCAGTGGTAGTATTAACTCCAGTAGTGGTATTAACTTCAGTAGTGGTATTAACTTCAGTAGTGGTATTAACTCCAGTAATAGCTCCAGAGCTAGTAGTAGCTCCAGCAGTCCTGGTTGTATCTCTTGTAGATATTTGAAAGAGCATCAAGCAAAAGATACTAACCAGTAGTATTACTATCATTGAGAGTAATATAATGATGAGTATAATAATGACTGGTTTATTCCATGTACTTATTTCCTTGTTGCTACTTTCCTTTATATCCTTAGGCTCTTCAACTCTTCCACTCTCTTCATTGGCTGAGGTTTGACACAGCTCATATATATTGTTCTCTTTGATAGTGTCCTGCCCCAAAGACTCATATGTAAAATTCTCTTCTCCCTCCATTACGTTATACAGACAATAAAGTCACAACAAGTCTCAAAATAGTGAAAATACTGGTATACAACTGACTATGCATACATTTATAGTCATGGGAAAATTATGATAAATCATATCTAATTGAAACTAAACTTGGGACTAAACTGTTCATTTACTGACAAACATGTATCATTCCCTTATTACATGACTAATTTAAGTAGACCCTGACTGCAGTAATGTAAAATAAACTTAAGCAATGAGGAAACACTTATAGCCATATTTACAAATTTTGATAAAAATGTGAACATGCAACATAATTATTAATGATAAACACATAGTATAGTAATGCAACATAATGATGACAAATAGTTAACTCTCAGTGACTTAAACTATCATATAATAGTAATTATTCATAGGCTCTTTGGTTCTAGTTCTCTTCAATAGCTGACAACCTGAGGTTTAACAATTACATATTCTTCCTCAAAAATGTCTTGCTATAAGTACTTCTTTCCACCATTAGATGATAAATTCAAAGTATATTTCAGAAATAAAACTGATGAATAGGTTATTTCAATTAATTTGCATGTGTACACAGTCACACACATTTTTGACCAGATTCTTTTGTAGTAGATGGGCCAAATGTGTACATGTAAGTACATTCAATCATTTGCAATTACTTACATCTAACAATAACTTATAATGATTATAATGTTAAGTGGACCATTACTAATAATGTGAAGGAAACAAGAACAGTGAGTAAACAGCATGCAGGACATGTATAAACTGTCAACAACATAAAATAAACATAACTCTATGGAAGACTAACTAAATTTGATATTACAAGACACCATCTGAATTCATCACTTAAGAGAAAGAAGACAAATAATAACTGCATATATTTCAAGGTAATAATTTCATCTGTGATCTAATAATATGATCTTCCTTACTTCGATTAGTTCTTTTCCGCATGGTTGCTGTACTCCAATTGTGTCAAGTAAACATGAGAACTTGTACCTGTTCTCTGCACTGTCTGGGGATGTACCTAATATCCTAACCTACAAACCACATGACAATCACATAATATAGACACGTATCACATGCCAACATCAGAATAATAATTATTCCCCCAGAAAGCATGCTAAGTGAGCTAAACAGCATTTTTAATGAGTGTCATGACAAGAACTACAATATTATGTTTAGAGCAACTTTTAAAAATTATTAAAAATCCAACTTAAATCAGAATCAACTCAAACTTTCTACACAACATAAGAACATGTATATGTGTCAGAAAACATTATAAAAATGGTGAATTCTCTCCCTTTAAATTTTGGTGAGATTTGGCCCTATAGACTCTGTACTATAAGGTCCTCTAAAAAGTCTGGCAAGCATAGGAGCTCATTTTCCCGGTATATATAGCAAGACTGCAAAATTTGTGGCAGCCATATTGTTTTTGAGTGAATCCTACTTCATAACGCTACCACATTACTAATAGTACAAGGACTTTGAACAAGTTTTTGAGACTCAAAAACTTTACTGACAAGAGGCTACAGTGTTACACCAAAGCCCCGTGGAAAACCATGCAGCTACATGTAGTTAGTACCTTCTAGTGGTATAGAGGTATTGCTATATTATTTGGTAGCTGCCCTCCCATTAATAGAATGAGTCCTTCAGGCTGCTCAAGATCATATATGTCCATCACGGTCTCAAATGAGAGCTCATCTCTCACACTCATCATTATTAGTACTGACTGTCTCTGGATTGTAACAAGCAGATAATATTAATAACTTATTATCAGCAATGCTGCTATTATTATTATTACCATTATTGTCTTCTTCCCTAGTTTTCTTAATTCTTAATGCAACCAACAGTACAAGAATCAACTGAACCACCAATCCTGTACACATCAGACTCAAGTACCATAATAGCACCACCTACACATAATGCATGTATCGACAGACAATAGTAAAATACATGTATAATAAAGTAGCATGCATGTACTAATTGTAGTTTTTTTTAAATTATAGAATAGGAGGCTTTAATAATGTTGGCATAATTTTTTAACTATTAATGATGAATTTATTCATAGCATTTTAAAGATCTTTTGCTAAATTTGCTAAATTAGTGAATGGTACAGGAAATGAGCTACAAATTACTTATAAGTAAACACGAACAATATTATATAAGGTGCAATTAAGTAACTATGAAACTTCTTTTTGTTGAGATAAACTGAAAATCAAACAAATGTCACCTTTGTGATTGACTGCACTAAACTGGCCAGCCTTTTTATATTTTAAAGTCAGTGTAGCAAGGCTTGAAGTAAAAACAAGTCAGGAGTTTTCTAGCAGCAACATAAGGTAGAGATTCTGCTTTTTTTTCAGCTAATAATCTACAAGGCTGAGCCCTTTAATGTTTTCCATTGTTTCTAGTATAAGAAATGTTTACACAAGTAAGCTTATACATACATAAGTGATGAGTGTATGAGTGTGTGGATATGAGTGTGTGGATATGACATTAGTGGAATACGTGAACATAAAGGGTAAAAGACATGATGGATTAAATAACCAAATAACGAGAAATAGACAGGATCAAAGAGAAAGCAATGGGGAGATAACACTTTGTATTGGTAGTGCAATAGTATACCAAACACATACAAAACATTGTGATTGACATACAGACAGTCAGGTATAATTAATAAGAATACAGGACAGACAGTATGTGAGTGTGTGACCATGCATGCATACACTGTACATGAACAGTAATATGTAAATAAAAAAATTAAAATACAATAAGAACCTTCATTTTTGTAATCACCACTCTACCTGTATGTACATACATGTATTCATGTACATGTGCCATATAGCAGAAAATTTTGGTGAATTGCTAAATTTTGGTGATTGGTGAATTTTAATTTGGCAAATTTGTGGCCATGTGGTGCATAATGGCTCAAAATTGTGGATTTTTATTTGGCAAATGGCTATCAAAACACTAAATTGGCTAAATTTAACTACCTCCAAAATTTTCTTCTATACAGTACATGGTAAAAGAGTACAAAATTGCTAGTACAGATTTTTATTAAACAATAGAAGATACCACAATAACCACATACCTGTAAGGGTTTCCCACTAAGTATTCTAAATGAGTTTAAAAGCATGAGCTTCATAAGCTGACAAGACTTATAATAGACTTAGCATAATAGCTTTGGGAGCAGCTTTCAAAATTCTTAAAAATTCAGGAATAAGCTCAAACTTATATATGTATCTGAAAAAGTTATAAATACGGAAAACTCTCTCCTCCTCAAGTTTGGCCAAATTTGACTACATACGTATGTCCCTGTTTCGACCAAATTTTTTAGCAACTTTAAAACATACTTACAAGAAGCTAAGCATGCACCACGCCAAGAAACCCTGATACATGTACATGTACAGGTACTCATCTAGTTCAATATGCCAATGATAAGAAACCCAAGTATTGTATCAAAATCAAACCTTTGTTTTGTGTGAGTACTAGACTCTCATTGTCAATAGTGACAGAAACTGTGTTAGGCATGCAGCCAATGAGTGTGATTCCACCTGCCAGTGCTGCAGCTGTGCACGAGGCAAAGTCCTCCCAGGCTCATGTACATTGTACATGGACATGAGAATCAATAAGACCTGAGAGAGAGAAAGGAGGGGGAGAGAAAAGAGGAAGAGAGAAGGAATTAATGAAGAATTAATGAAGGAGAAAGAGTGGGAATGAGTCAAACAAAAGGGGGTAAGTGGGAAAGATTAGAGAGGAAGAGGGAAATGTTGTTTTGATTATAATGTATGCAGACACAGGCATGGCAGTCTCACTGTCCTATGGGATGAAATGCAATCAAAATACATCTTTATCTCTGGGGCTTTCTTTTGCATTTTGAATAGTTCCTTGATATAATACAAATACATGTACATATAGTTGCATATTACAAGTATTATAGTACTATACTACCTTATTGCTGACCTTATAGTTGTAAGCCACATAAGGGCTAAATAAACACATATTAATTAAAGCACAGTTCCCCATGCTGTACGGGAAAACAGCACAAAGTGAAGCTGAGTGCTGTATCGCTTTCGAGACCACACCTCGAGTGCTGTATTTCCAGTACAGCACATGGGGAACCGTGCTTTTACTAGTTTATGGCATGGGTGCATCAAAGGCACCAGCCCAAGGCCAAGTGAAGAATAGTTTAAAGAGAACCAAAAGACTGAAAAGAGACTGCAGTCACAGTTTATACAACAGGAAACCACAAACTGTGCTGTATAAACCACAAACTGTGCTGTGTGAACCGGAAGTGTGCTGTATGAGATATACAGCACGGGCGGTGCCTTTGATGCACCCACACACTATAGATATTAGAGTAAATATGCACACACTATACTATAAAACCATATAAATTAGGTTATTTAGCAGTCGGATCAAACATAAAATTTAGTTATTGTTTCCATAGTTCGTGTGTATTTTATACTGTTGATATTTACTTGTTTAGCTACTATGTCCTTCAGTTGTTTACTCATTGCTCTTGTTTCCTTAAGTGATGGTCACTTAACTCTATGATCATTATAAGCTATTGTTAGACATAAGTAAATATAGGATTAATGGATTGATTCAATGTACATGCACACATTTGGCCCATCTGTTGATAAAGATTGATCAATATAATGGTCACTGTCTATAAATGTATGCAATAACATCAGTTTCATAAGTTGCCTACTGTAATTTTTATGAAGTGGATGGAGAAGAGAAATTCACATGTAGTTTCTTGAAAAGGACTGTGACCGACCGTTAACGTCTATGAATGCTATATCAAACCTCACCTGCTGAGAAGAGGAAAACTTAGCAACAAAAGAATTGAGCATTACAGATTTTAAATGACTATGTTTAGCATTATGTTGTCATTCCTTCTGCTGATTCCTTGTTTACTTCACAGTGACTAGTGATCAAGAGTACTTAACATTTTTAGTTATTTTAGATGAGTTTGTGGGCTGATCTATTCTTATCATAATTTTTCCCATCTATATACATACATTGTATATATAACCTCGATTTTATTCAGTCATATACATTTTCTGAGAGTGAGATTTGTTGTGACTTTATGATAACATGGAGCTTGAAGTTGAAAATAAATTTACTTATGAGTCAGTTCGACAGGACACCTTCAAAGAGAGTAACGTACAAGAACAAAAAAAATTAAAAAATTATTTAGTGTAGGGTTGAGCCTCTGTTGGATTTGAACCTATGAAATGAATGGTTTGAAAGTATAAAAGGAATTCAAACAAGCCCCTGTAGGGTTGCATCACCATTGAAACACCAACATGTCAACCCTACACTGCTTTTATGTCAATATTGTTCCTTCATTTCATTTTGGATTCTTTGTGGGTGTCTTAATTTCATGATTGACACTTACAAGGCACTTCATTCATTAGTGGGTACACCCCAAACCGGCTGCTATATGAACAACAAATTCTTTTAGTAAACTAGTGTTCATTAGTTATTCTGAACATTTATGATGGAAGGAGAAGAAAATCTATCATATGAATCTCTGAGGCAGGATAATATTGATAAAAATGGTGAATATGAGTTACGTCAAACCTCAACTGTTGAAGAAAGGAGAGATGAACAACCTCAGAATGTAAGAAATAACAAGAAACTAACATTATGGCATAAACCAATCATTCACACAGTATTACTGTCACTGATAGTAATACTACAGGTTGGTATCCTTTGCTTGTTACTGGCTCATATGTCTACAAGAGATACTGGTACCTATAGTGGAGCTAACAGTGGATTGCCTGACTTCAATGAATGGGCTAATGGTGTTGTTTCTAAAGTTAACAGCAATGTAACAAGGAGCCTTCCTGACTTCAATGAATGGGCTAATGGTGTATCACAGAATACCTTTCAGCTATTTCAGGATAATACCAATTTCACTGAACTTGATAAACAAATCTTACAAACTACAAGAGATTCTGGACAAAAGCTCTTTAACATTGTCAATACTCTCTCTAATATACAAGACACCAGTACCTCTACTGCTGGA